AACAACAACACAGAGGGAATAGAAGCAAATACTGTTGAATGATGAAGCATGCAAGGGGGATCATGAAATCATTGCAATGACATGAAATGATGTTTCCCATGTAAACTATCACTCAATTCACAATAAAAACTTAAAAACAACAACAACACTCTATTAGAAGACCCTCTCCAGACTTTTAGAAGATCTTTATAAATTGATTATTAGTTATGACAGTCAATATGATTGCTGCATTTGTATTCACATACAAGAAATTTCCAACTAAAGCATACTCCTCAAATGGCTTATACCACTTCAATTCCTATTACAACAGATGAAGGTGTTTAAGACACAGGAGAAATGTATGTATTTATGCTTAATACCTCCAAATACTATAAAAATGGTATTGGAGGGAGATATAAGCAAAGGTTCAAAATTAAAAAGAAGTAGCTTTAACTTTGCAAGGAGGTTGTGTCAACCATGCAGACATCTAGATAGTGCAATCTTAGGGCAAGTTAACACTGGATGCATTGTGTCCCGAGTCTGACTGAATTGACCTAACATTGAAAAATAGCCAAAAAAGTTGCCCACAACCTTTGGCAGCAATTTGTTCCCTGATAAAATGTTCACTTATTGTCTAATAAACACTATAATTTCCAATTCTACTGAAAAAACAAAAAAGCAGGTTTGTTTGTTCTTCTGGCAGTCCATGGTATATTCAATACCCTTCACTCACATTGTAATCCAAATGCATTGATTGTTCTCCAGTTGTCCTTATTTACAGTCCAGCTTTCCCATGCATGTGAGGCTATTGAAAAGGCCATGGCCTGGGTTAAGCACATCATAATCCTCAAAGTGATATGTTTGCTATTTAACACTTTAAAGATGTCTTCTGCAGACTTGCCCAATGGAAGACATTTGATTTGACTGCTGCTTCCATAAGTATTGATTCTATACCCAAATAAAACGAAATCCTTGACAACTTCAATCTTTCTCTGTTTATCAAGATGTTATTGGTCCAGCTGTGAAGATTTTTGTTTTTTTTACATTGAAGTACACTCAGGTTTTTGATATTCACCAACAAGTATTCAAATACTCTTTACTTCCAGCAAGGTTATCATCTGTATATCACACATTGTTGATGAATTTCCCCCAATCCTGATACCAAGTTCTTCTTTATATAACCCAGCTTCTGAGCTTATTTGCTCAGCATACAGATTGAAGTACGGTAAAAGGACACAACACTGATGCACACCTTTCCTGATTTTAAACCATTCAGTGTCCCCTTGTTTCATCCAAGCAACTGCCTCTTGGTCTGTATACAGATTCCTTATGAGTACAACTAAGTGCTTTGGAATGCCCATTCTTTGTAATCTAATCCATAGTTTGTTATGACTGATACATTTGAACGCCTTTGTATAGTCACTAAAGCATAAGCAAGTATCTTTCTGGTATTTTCTGGTTTCAGCCAAGATCCATCTAACATTAACAATGATAACCCTCATTCCATGACTTCTTTTGAATCTGGCTTGGATTTCTGGTAGTTTCCTGCTGCAACCATTTTTAAATTATCTTCAGCAAAATTTAATTGCATGTGGTATTAATGATATTATTGAATGATTTCCATAATCTATTGGGTCACCTTTCTTTGGAATGAGTATAAATATGGATCTCTTCCAATTGGTAGCCATGTTGTCGTTTAGATTTCTTGGCAGAGATGAGTGAATGCCTTCAATACTGCATCAGTTTGTTGAAACATTTCAATTCATATAGTCAATTCTTGGAGCCTTGGTTTTCTCCAATGCCTTCAGTGCAGTTTGGATTTTTTCCTTTAATAACATTGGTTCTTTATTATATGCTATCTCTTGAGTCCTGGTGTGGTGATGAGGGCTAATGCACTGGACTGCAAAGTCGGTTTGAACCGCAAGGTCTGTGGTTCAAGTTCATCAGTTGTTCCTTGGAAACCCTATACAGAGTCACTATTGGTGGGAACTGACTTGATGGTACACTAACAATAAATTTTTTGAAATGTTTGAACATTCTTTTGGTACAGTGAATCTGTATACTCTTTCCATCTTCTTTTGATGTTTTCTACATTATTCAAATTTTTGTCCTTAGAATCTTTCAGTATTGCAATTCAAGGCTTGATTTTCTTCTTGAGTTTTTTCAGCTTTGAGAAATGCTAAGCATGTTCTTTCCTTTTGGTTTTATAACTCTAGGTCTTCGCACATTTTATCATAATACTTGACTTTGTCTTCTCATCTTGAGTTGCCTTGAAATTTTCTATTCAGCTTTTTATATTTCATCATTTCTTCTAGTTGCTTTAGCTTCTCAACATTCAAGAGCAAGTTTCAAAGTTTCTTCTGACATCCATTTTGGTCTTTTCTTTTTTTCCTTCTTTTCAATTGTAGGCAGCAATGTCTTTGGTAATCTGGTGTGGTGTTGTAGGATAAGCATTGGACTGCTAACCTCAAAGTTGGCTGTTCAAACTTACTAATCACTCCTTGGAAAACCTACACAGGGTTGCTGAATTGGAAATTAATCAACTGCACTTAACCAACTGCTTTGTCTTTAAGAAGGAATTCATTACTACTTAATACATCAGCAGTTTGCTTAAAATGTTTTAGGATAACGAATTCATAGGGAAAAAACAGTAAATGTGCCCTCTGGTGATACAAAGATGGGAAAACTGGATAAAGAGCACAGATCCTTTTAGCCAGCAAGGCCTTGAATGTAAAGTTTAACAGCTGGTGTCCACCTTTGGCCTGATGTAAAAACTTGACTCAGTGGGCGTTTTGATTCAATGTCATACACTCCAACTTACGACATAAACTGATGTGGCAAGTGCATCTTCCCAACAAGCAGGGGGCCACAATTAGAACATGAGTATCATTACAGCGAAGTGTAGACAACACAGCGAACACTGTTTCCACACTTTAGATTTCACATAAGCTGAAGTGGGAATGGAAACTACTATCTGGAGAGCACCCCTCCTAACTAGAGTTTTAATAATGGAAACAGTTTCTCTGATCAACAGACACTAATTGAGAGTTTGGACAGTATAAGCATTCAGCCTTGAAGCTATCAACTATAAAAATACAATCAACATTCCAGGATCTCTGTGATTAAGGTAACATGATGTGGGGACAAAACATAATAAATGCCATCATCATTTCTCGATGGACCCAAATGTATCCACTTGAAGTAGGTTCAAGGACCCACACTTGCTATCATGATCCTTTTCCTCTCTCCCAATCCCAATCTTTATGTCCCCCTCTCCTCATCCCAGACTCATTTGAGCAGGTCTCTTCTCCCCTTGCCTTGAATCTTGTTGCAAAATTTCTAGGACTAATGATAATATATTCCATGCTTGTGTTAAGCAAAGAACCATGCACCTCAACCCATTTATCCTTTACTACCTTGTACCCAGCAACCACCCAGTCCCCACCAGACAAACGGGGGAAGGGAAACCCTCAGTGCTCTCTGCTAGGAAATTCCTTTTATCACAATTAAATTCCTATAATGGTTGTGATGGAAAAAGTGTGGAGTCAGGACAATTCAAATCATTTTACAACTATGGGCAAGGCACTTCCTTCCCTCAGACCTTAGTTTTCTCAATTGTGGATAAGAGAGTTGGGCCATATTAATGGTTTTCAAGGGTGCTTCATGGAGTCCTACAAGTCACACAGAGCCTCCTCAGGGATTACCAAAGAAAGAGTGGCAGCTAACAAACAGCTCCAAGTACATCTCTTTTCCTCTATAATCAGAGCAGTGCTGAGCTTTTATTTTATATATAACTTCAAATTACTTAAGAAGTCTTTAGTTAAAAAGTATGAAAATGCTTAGCATGACACCTGCCATAAAAAAGGCACTCATTATCACTTACTGAATGAAAGCCAAAGGAACTGGGGTGATTTCTAAGATCCTTTCCAGTTATGATCTTTTAGGGTTCTAGAGATACTTAACATTACACAGGAATTTTAGTTAAGGTAGCTCTCTGCTTGTTTTGCAAAGGTACCAAGACTTTTTCTGCAGGTTCGTTTTGGGGAACAAAAGTATGCCCAAGCTTATTCCAGAAAATAATTCCCTATAGCCACTGGATATAAAGATTCAAATAGTTGGAAATGAGAGAACATCTTTGATAAGTTAGAAAAAGTATATGGTTTAAAGGATACCCAAGTCTGTGTTCCTACCAAAAAATCTAAATGTAAGACAAGTGACTTGCTAATATGCTAGTGAAAATATCAATCCCCCTACAAAGTTAAATAAAAATAAATAAATAAAAGGGCCAAAACATATTCTACACCCTTTGAAAGTTATTCTGTGCACAATCATTGCTAACACCCCACTGTGCAGGTAATAAGGATAAGGAAGATGATTAGACTTACTCTGTGATTTTGGGGTCCAAGTTGCCAATCCATAACCGATGCCCTTCCTGTAGGGAGCCCTCTGAAAGGATGGATGCATTCTCCAGGGGAAGAGTTTGGGTTTCTGTTTCCATCAATCTCTACGCAATACTAAAGGAAATGTGAACATTCAGGCAGGAGAGGAGTGTGAACATGAGACTTCAAATTCAATTCAGCAAACATTGATTCAAGGAGGGCATGCCCTCTGGGCAGTCCTTCAAAGTCCTGTTATACCACAACCACAGCCCCAACATCAGTTCCCCTGGGGCAGCTCCTCTGGCAGCTAGAACACAGAAGCTGCCATTTAAGGTGGAAGGGGGTGTGTTCTGTGTGTAGAAAATCAAAGTTTCCCTCCTCCCAAGCCAGAGAGGCTGACTGGGCAGAAGGCCAAAGTCTCTATTACTACACGCTACTCGAGTTCAACAACAGTCACCCACCCACAATAAGCCTTGGAAACTACCAGGAAGAGTCTCAAAGGCAATACAGGAGTTAGAGGGGAGTTGGGAGTGGGTGGGGGGAGGGAGAGCAGCAAGAGAGCTCTTTCTTTTCCTCATGAACAGGCCATACAGCAAGGGGAAGATACACTATAAGACATGTTAACGGCATATATTTTGGAGTTAAGACATACTGGGTTTGAAAGTAGGTTCTATGATTTGGTAAATTATCTAAACTTTCTAGGCCTCAGTATATTTCTATAAATGGAAATAACATTTTACTGTGGTACTGAAGGATAAGTACTGGACTGTTAAACACAAGGCCAACGGTTCAAATACACCAACTGCTCTCGGAAACCCTATACAGGGTCACCATGAATCAAAACTGATTTGATGGCATGTAACACTTTACAGGGCTATTGTGAGGATTAAAGATGGCAGTGGTTGGTGGTTGTGTGCCGTGGGGTCGGTCTAATTCACAGTTAGGATTTCCGAGATTGTAAATCTTTACAGGAGCAGAAAGTGTCATCTTTCTCCTGCGGAATGGCTGGTAGTTTTGAACTGCTGATCTTGAGGTTAGCAGTCTGACTCGTAACATGAGGTTACATGAAAATCACTAAGCACTTATCCAACAGTAGCAAGTAATCTATCTATAAGTATTAGTTATTATCATGTTTGGGAGTGTGGTGGCTCTAGAGGATAAGCTTGGACCGCAAACCACAAGGTCTGCGATTTGTGCCCACCAGCTTCTCCATGGGAGAAAGATGAAGCTTTCTGCTCCCACAAAGATTTACACGCTCAGAAACCCTATACAGGGTGGCTGTCAGTCAGAACTGACTCAATGACACATAACAACAATCATGTCTAACATTTTGGGAGAGACTAAGCAAAGAAGACAACTTTCTCCTTATTTACCCAAGTTCCATCACTTATTAGCTGTACAACTCGGGTCAAATTATTAACCACTCTATGCCTTAGTTTCCTCATTTGTAAAATGAAGATACTACTTCACAGAGTTGTGAGGACTCAATGAGTTAGTGCAACTAAAGCATTTAGAACAAACAGTGCAAGACACTAGAAAGTATTCAACTGTAAGTTGTTTAGAGCCTTTGAGTTGGTTCTGACTCACAGCGACCCCATATATGATTTCTGAGGAGCGGCTGGTGAGTTTGAACCACTGATCCTTGCAGTTCTGTGCTTTATCCCACAGCTCCACACCAGGACCCCAATATTCAATTAAAGTTACCTTAGGTTCAAGCTCACCAGTCATTCCTTGGAAATCCTATGCAGGGTCGCTATGGGTCGGAACCGACTCAACGGCACTTAACAACAACAACAAGTTATTACTAGCCTTACTTCCTGAAATGTCTTATTGCACAGCCAAAAAAGGACCTTGGAGGTTATGATGAAGGCAGTAGTGGAAAGAGCGTGGTGCACAAAGGCCTAGTTTTAAATTTTGGCATTTCCACTGGAAGTCACATCTCTTGAAGCTTGTTTCCTCAGCTTTAAATAATGAACCTTGCCCTACTTAAAATTTAGGTTGCTGAGAGGACCAAAAATGAGATGGTGAACTTAAAATAAAGCTTTAATAAATGAGTAATATGGTAGAAAAATAAAAGGGTCTGAAAGAGGGCAATATTGTACCACAATTACCTGCTAAAGAAAACATGTCATATATATACCCAAACATGCTTCAGAAACCAGTACTGCGAGAACTCACTCACTCATGACATACAGTAAACACAGCCACCATCTCTCGTGCATCTCAGCACACCCTAGAATCTCTAGAGAAATGTTTGCTGAACACGTGGATCTACCTGCCTGCACAGGAGGGTGTTCTCATATGTTCAATCTGTTCAGCAATGTGAGACGAGCCAAGAACTAACTGAAACCCTGGGCTATGTGCTAGAAACAAAGAAATAAATAAGCCATATCTCTTGCTTTCCTGAGAGGAAGGTGCAACAAACATAAACACAAAATCTCAGAAGTGGAAACAGTGAGGCGGATGGGGAAGCAAAAGGGGGACATTCTGTCTTCCCTTTCCTCCTACTTTCTTATCAAAAACTATCTACTGAACATCTATCTTTTAGGCATTGTGTAGGTACTGGGAAAACAGTAGCGAATAAGCAGCTCTGTCCCCACGATGTTTGTATCTAGGAGTAGGGCAAAAACAGAAAGAAGTAAAAGAAATGAACACGATCTATTTAGTAATAATTGCTGCTAACATAGAGACTGGGGTTAAGCTATTTGAGATTGAGTGAAGAGGGTAGGCCTCTCTAGAAATGACATTTAAACTGAGATTTGAATAATAGGAACTTTCTGTTTGTTTAAATGCAGCAATATTAATAGCTACTTAATGCCATTAATGGAGTCCTGGTGTGACGGGAAAGGT